TACCAGTTGCAGAGCCCGGAGTGGGGCTTGAACCCACGAACTGCGAGATCATGACCTGAGCCAAAACCAAGAGTCAGATGCTCAACCGACAGCCACCCAGGTGCCCCTCTGTGGCACTTTTAGAAGAACAAATTTCATGGACAGCATTGGATTTGGGTCCAAATGGTTTCCAACTCTTCAACTCTTCAACCATACATGAAGTCAACCATATCATTTCTTTGTTTCCAAATACAGAAAAGAGAAAGCCTTTTGGTGCATTTTAGCTCTTTTGGAATTTCAAGCATTTCAAATACTTTCAAGAAAAAAAATAGGTTCTTTTGCTAGATTCCTTTTTTCATCTTTAGTTTTTATTTATTCTGTGACAATGTAAAGTCTTAATTAACCTTTGTATTACTTGCTCATTTTTTAAAATGAATGTACTATTAAATCTATCAATATGGAGCAATCAAGTATTCCTTTTTCATGAAGAAAAGTTCAAATCATTTCTGAGCAAGTTCCAAGTAATCTAGTCACAGAATTACATTTTCTTTGGATCACTTATAAAAGGAGACTAAAAATCTGAAAACTAATGCTAGGAGACCCATACAGATGGGCTATAAAAACAAAAACAAAAACAAAAAAACAAAACAAAAAAACACCTTCTGACACACAAACACTGAGAGTTTGCTTCTCTTTAACCTCACTCAGAATACTGGTTGGTGTGGTTAATTCCATAGAACTTTTCTAAGGGTCCTCCTTCATTTCACTTGGTTAAGCCAGTGATTTTTTAAAATAGAGGACTGTAAGGGCGTCTGGGTGTCTCAGTCGGTTAAGCGTCCGACTTTGGCTCAAGTCATGATCTCGTGGTTTGTGGTTTCAAGCCCTGCGTCAAGCTCTGTGCTGTCAGCTCAGAGCCAGGAGCCTACTTCGGATTCGGTGTCTCCCTCTCTCTCTGTCCCTCCCCTGCTCACGCTCTGTCTCTCTCAAAAATAAATAAACGTTAAAAAAGAATTAAAAGCCAGGACTGCAGAATACAATCTATTGCAGAGGAGTTGGGGCTATGAGTCCTATGAATCTGCAAAATACTTCCAGGCATTCAAAGGACAAACGTCTATTGAGTGACTACTATGTATCAGAGACTGGATTTGGCATGTTTTCGTAGATTAAATAATGTACCTTGCATATGTATATATAGAAACCTTTCAAATGTGTGTAAATGTCAGTATGATGGATAGAAGTCCCATCCATTTATTTTTTTTAATTTTTTTTTTTCCCCAACGTTTATTTATTTTTGGGACAGAGAAAGACAGAGCATGAATGGGGGAGGGGCAGAGAGAGAGGGAGACACAGAATCGGAAACAGGCTCCAGGCTCTGAGCCATCAGCCCAGAGCCCGATGTGGGGCTCGAACTCACGGACCGCGAGATCGTGACCTGGCTGAAGTCGGACGCTTAACCGACTGCGCCACCCAGGCGCCCCTGAAGTCCCATCCATTTAGAAGGACTACTGAATTTACAACTTTTTATCACTGTGTATTTTTTCCATTTGATATAAAAGAGAGTGTCCTTATATTTGAAAAGATTGGTGAACACTAAGTTAGCCTATTTTGCACATTGCCTGAATTTAGTAGCATACGTTTTGATATAATTCTATAATACGAGTCACATAGGTATAAAATGTGCAAAATTGCTCATCTCTACCTAACATTCTCCATATATTAAGCTCCCAGTAATATAAAAAATGGTAAAAGTAAAAATACAGCTGATCCCTGAACAACACAGGTTTGAACTGCAAGGGTCCACTTACATGCGAATTTTTTTTTTTTAATACAGTACAGTACTATGACTGTATTTTCTCTTTCTTATGATTTTCTTAAGAACGTTTTCATTTCTCTAAGCTTACTTTATGATAAGAATACAGTACATAACACACATATAAAATATGTGTTAACTGTGTTACTCGTAAGGCTTCTGGTCAATAGCAGAACATCAGCAGTTAGGTTTTTAGGGAGTCAAATGTTACACGTAGATTTTCAACTGTGCTGGGGATCAGTGCCCCTCATCCACACACTGTGCAAGGGTCAACTGCATCCTCTAATTCATACACCTCCCTAAGAACAGCATTTTGTCCATAAAAGCTTCTTTACCTAATTTGTGTCTCAATCAGCAAATGGAATTTTGCTCACTGCTTTAGTATGGGAGTATGTGCAGAACACATTCCCTTGTTTCTTTTTATTTTGTTCCTAAAATGAATTTTAGAGTATTAACATCCAAAATGGATTTGAAAAAGCATTGGTAATTTATTCTTAAGCATAGTATGGTCAGTTATGTAACAAAAAGTTACATCTCATTTATCATATACATTTTTGGTATCACAACCAACACTTGAATCTATTCCTTGTCCAATCAGCACGGAGACTTTGCCCACTGGAGTCCCCCAGGATCCATGTGGATGGAGACTTCACCTTGACACATGCTCCCCCAATTGGAGAGGAAAGAAAAAAACCCTTCATTTTAATATTTGTGTATTTTTGAGAGAGAGCGCGTGAGCAGGGGAGGGGCAGGGAGAGAGGGAGACACAGGATCCAAAGCAGGCTCCAGGCTCCGAGCCGTCAGCACAGAGTCTGATGCGGGGCTTGAAATCATGAGCCGTGAGATCATGACCTGAGGAGAGGTCGGACGCTTAACCGACTGAGCCACCCAGGCAGCCCAACCCTTCCTTCATTTTAAACAAATCGAATTCTGAGTATGGTACTGTTTAATCTTGAACTGCCCTCGCACTGACACCTTGGCAAATCCCATTCTCAGATTTCTAAAACTGAGGAGCGATACCAGAATTTCTAGTGTTAACAAACTACTTACCATCTTTTAAAAGCTTCTGTAAGATTTTCACAAATATACTGCCTTTAGATACTTCAATTGGATCATCCTTACCATCTGAACTGGACCAGCTAGAAAACAAAATTGCAATGGGAAGAAAATGAAATCGTGAATGTATCTGAAATAAAGGACTTCTGTTTGCTACCATAGTCTTGTTCTAATGGTTGTGCTGGGGAGGGGTTGGGGGGTCAGGTGGGGAATCTTAAGTTTTTGTGATACTGTTTCAAATTATTAAAATAAGGGAGCTTTAAATGTTGAACACACTTAGAGTCTTTATAGTAGATACAAGATGTTACACTCAAGTAGCTACCTGCCCAACGTAACCATACCTATGTGATGTCAAAACCAAGTAGTGAGGTATCTGTTCCCAAAAAACACTATAAATATATAACAAATCTAGTAAGGACTCCAAAGTATGATCTTCGGAGCACAATAGTTACAGTATATTGTAACAGACTCTGCTTTTCATAAAAGTAAAAGGGTAAATGGTGTCTAATACAATGTAAGTTTTATCTAGATGAGATTATCCACTGCTGAAATACACACACACAGAACCACTACTCTGTATCATCAATGGATATATCCCACAATACCTTAAAGTTTTTAAACATAAAGCCATGAAAAGAATTCCAGCCAAATGATGGCATACTTTTTTTTAGATTAGGAAGGAGAATCAAGTGGCAGAGCTAGATGCTTCAGAGCGTGACCTCCAAGACCAAGCAGAACAATGTGAACCATTTGGGAGTGATCAGAGGAAGAAATGCTTTAGTAAAAATAGTTCTACTGTAATTTCTCAGCACGATATAAAAAGGGAAGTTGTGGGTAGGGAAGGACGTTAACACTCAAGTCACGTTCTCTTTAAAATTCTTTTTCCCCGAAGCAATTTGATTCTCAGTCTTTCACAGCCACCACCTCTCTTTGCCACCATTTCCAGCAGAAATCTCCCCCCTTAAGAAGGAGATAACGTGAGAGGTCTCAAGAACTTACAAGACAGTACTGATACTCTAATAAACTTTTTATTTGAAACGACAGCAGCTTGTTTGGCAGAATTGGCCCAACTTGTGTGAAAATCAGGAACATAGGCATTTCTGTGCAAACTGACGGTCTAAATTTTAAAATCAAAAGGAGAGACGTATTATACTAGTGGTCCTAAGTCCTTAAACTCTCCCTTAATTATTGAATGAAAAATTTAGATTACTAATGCAACCATTACAATTTTCATAGTATATGTTGTAAAACAATTAGGCTACAAGACCGTTTGATGTATGGTATCATAATCTTCCTAAAGAATCCTTTCCCAAAACCGTACCTTAGATTCATGCTATGGGAACTTACTTATCTCTCTGAAGAGCTTTGCAAAGGATTTCCAGTTTTAGATCATTTATATTTACATCTTCCTCCTTTATGGTGAAACAAAAAAATTCTCATTAAGTCCTGATTTTAAGAAATACATGCTTACATTTGAGTTGTATCAGGTTCTAATTCTACATAAATATTGCTTTACTTTTGATTCATAATTAAAAAAAATTTCCTTTTAAGACATTAATACGCAGAAGAGTAAGCCAATTAATAACTCTGTGCGAATCAGTTTCTGATTATTCTGTGATAATCTGATGTTATCAGGAACCCTGAAAAGGTTAAGATTTTAAACAGGGTAACATAAAAGCCAATCCATTACATTTTTTAAATCTACCAAACTACTTTCAATTGCAAGGCCAATTCTTATCCTAGAGAATTATCATCATAATCTTTTTTTTCCCCCCAAAGAAGGCTGAGAAACAGCTCCTCTTAGGGTGAATACTATGAAAAACAAATTGATAAAGCAACGTATCAGAATGAAGAACTAATAATGACTTAATAAATGAAAGAAAAAAATTACCTCAGGACTCTGAAAAGCCGTGTTTTTTATTCGTGCACAGAAAAAGACACCAGGGAACATGTGAGAATTATCAGGAAAGCGACTCTCCTGACAACTTTTCTAAAGAGCTACACATTCCAAGAGTTAGGAATAGCTGAACCAGAGTCTTTTTTAAAATTAAAAAAAAAACCATTTATTTATTTTTGAGAGAGAGAGAGAGAGAGAGACTGAGAGAAAGAGAACAAGTGGGGGAGGGGCAGAGAGAGAGGGAAACAGAATCTGGAGCCGGCTCCAGGCTGAGCTGTGAGCACAGAGCCTGATGTGGGGCTCGAACTCATGAACTGTGAGATCACGACCTGAGCCAGAGTCGGACGCTTTAACCGACTGAGCCACCCAGGCACCCGAGAGTCTTTTTTATTGTTTTTAATTAAAAAAAAAAAAAAAAAAAAAATTTTTTAACGTTTATTCATTTTTTGATAGAGAGAGACAGAGTGTGAGGGGGGAGAGGCAAAGAGAGAGGGAGACACAGAATCCGAAGCAAGCTCCAGGCTCTGAACTGACAGCACAGAGCCTGACGCGGGGCTCGAACTCACAGACCGCGAGATCGTGACCTGAGCCGAAGTCGGACGCTTACCAGACTGAGCCACCCAAGCGCCCCACCGGGAGTCTTTTTTAATTAACACATTGTCATGATTGGCTAAAAGAAGTTATCTTTTCTTTTTTAATACGTTTTCAACTCTACAGCAAACCAAATATATAATTGTGATACTTGCCTTTGATCGTCTCCAGGGATTTTACTCACCTCATCGATATATTCCAGCAAGTCCAAAGCTTTCTTGAAATCATATTCATTAGCTCTTCTGTTTTCTTCACAGATATATAGCTATGGGAAATTCAAATAAGGATGAGGATTATTTTAAGTAATCATATAACTAAGACTAGAGACATTTAGGGAGAAAATAAGTCATTATGTCTTCCAAGTCAGTCACAGGTATTTGTATTTTATACTAAGAAGACTGTCACATCTGGAAATCACATTCCATCTATCCTCACGATCAACTTTCTTTTAACACATGCCTACACTCAACAGTACTTAATTTGTGTAATTTGGTATATATACTTTAAAAATGTCAGTAAATTCATATTCTTAGGTTCAATATAATGTAACACACTTCAGTATTCTTTTGGGCATATTCTTTGCAATATGCTATATAAAGAGAGGCTGTTGTGGGCTCAATTACAGGAAATCTGTTACCAATAATGACTAAAATACTGAAGTTTTGGGATTGTCTTCTGTTACTATAATTAGAGCGATTTCAAAGTGATCCTACATCACTCTTGTATTGGGATGCTCTGTTGAAGGGCAAAGAGCGAAGCAGAGTTAAGGCTACAAGTACAGTACATAACAATGAGACTGTCTCATGGAGGCTGTAGCCCATTATCTAGGGAATTGTTGTGTTCCTGCCCTCAGGAATGTGTTGTGTTCCAGACAAAAGCGGGAGGACAGTATCACAGGCTATGTAAATCTAGTTCCTTAAACTATTTTTCTTATGGAAGAGACTGAACTGTACCTCATGGTATGTACATGCCCTATGCCAGAAAAGAAAATCCAAGTACTTCCTTCTGGTCACCTGGATAAAGCATCTCTAGGAACAGCTGGAGATCTATGGGAGGCAGAGGCTGATCCGCTTCCTGCCAACGGGCATCCTGTTCTCAAGCAACTTCTAACAACTTATTTTAGAGGAAGGGGAAAGTTACCAGAAAAATAGGAACGGAAAGAGGACTACTCTTAGGAACTGTCCATCTGACTCAAGAGACACTGACGCTGTTTTGAGACTGAGGAATGGCGCAAGGATTCGCGAAGACGTACGCTGATGAGCTGTGGTGCAGTCAGCACTGGCATCGCACTGAGACTCAGCTCTTTCTCTGCCAGCAGTTGCTCCGGCAGGGTCTCCTGGTGCAGCAGAAAGCGCTCCTGCTCAGCCATTTCTAGAATTCAAAATGAGAGGCAGGGAGGGGAGTAAACTTCTGCTCTGTCATAAAACAAATCTGAATTAAAAAAAAAAAAAGGAACACCTCTAATGGTAATCTCATCGTTATTTGATGATCTTAACATGTTATTAATTCTGCTTGCCTTTGATTCCTGATTATGTTAAAACATGTTCATGATTTGATCCAAGTCATATAAACAGTCACAGTAACCAGAGAGTTAGGAGAGAAGAGAAGAGCTATGAAAATACACCTACTGCCTGGAGAACAGATGGCTATTTCGCAGACACAAGTCCCCCAAATCTGGGGCCACCCGGTCCCATTTTATGTTAACTCAAGAAAGTGCTTCTTCCCACCAGTTTCTAGTAGAATCTTGCACTAAGGGAAATGATCTATTTCAAAGCCGCCATGAGTTATTACAAGAAAAAAAGCCTGGAAGATTATGCACCAAACCTATTAATTAGCAATGGTGAGCTCTACTGGATGAGGTGACATCAGCCATCCAGGCTGCAGCCCAATTCCCCGGTTTTGCCCAGGAAGATGTGGACTGCAGGAGACAAGGACTGAGAACTGCTACGTATTCTCATAAACACAGTTGTCACCGCCAGATACAATGACCAAAGCATAAATATGCTCATTCAAACACTGACATCCTTCCACGTGATCCTAATTTTGTAAAAATTAAATAATTTTTGTGCGATTTCCATACATAGAGAAGCAGACTGGGAGGGTACACGAAACAGTGACTATAGTTCTCTCTGGGGCAGTGAGATTATATAGACTATTTGTTATGTTTTTTCCTGGTAATTTACAAATTTCAGTAAGGAATTATTTATATAACCAGAAAATTTAAAAAAAAATCTACTCCCTAGGATTAGATACATTGTGATGATAGTCTGCAGGTAATTACTGACACCCAAAAACATTCCCATTGTGTTAAGAAAGCAGAAGTTAAGAAGTGATCAAATGTAAAATGGTGACCACAGTTCCAATGATTTCTGGTGAGCGGGTTGTGGGGGGAGCAAGAAATAAAACCTTGATTTGAGGGACACTTGGGTGGCTCAGTCAGTTAAGTGTCCGACTCTTGATTTCAGCTCAGGTCATCTCACGGTTTGTGGGATTGAGCCCCGTGTCAGGCTCTGAGCCGAGCACAAAGCCTGCTTAAGATTCTTTTGCTCTTTCCCTCTGCCCCTCTCCCCAGCTCGTACAAGCACGCTCTCTCTCTCTCTCTCTCAAATATAAATAAATAGATAAAACAACCATCTGGATTTGAATAACATGGTCTATCTCTGGTGACTAGGCTAAAATATGGCTTCCCATGTCAGACTATCAGCCAATCTTGCAGAATATATACACACTTTTCTAGAACAATAAACACTACTAGTGCTTAAAAATAAGATTGAAAATCTCCTTTATAAACAGTGAAAAATAGTTTTAATAATAAAAGTTAAATGCTAACCCTACACTTTATTGGGGACTTAATACGTATAAGACATTTTTTTCAAGGAACACAGTGTCTCCACTCCTTACAACTACCCATTTTATAGCTGAGGAAACTGAGGCTCAGAGGGTATCCAAGGTCACAAAGCTAGTAAGCCAGAGAAAACATATGAAACCAGATCTGTCCAATTTCTGTCAAGATTCTTTCCATTGTTCCCATTCCTTGAAGAAAAAAAGACGGTAGTATAAATAGAACCCATACCTCAAAGGCTGGCCTCTGTGGATAAGCCCTGCAACCAAATACAAGTATCTATGTTTGTATACCTTTCACCCCTGATCACAGAGCTAAAATCCCCTTCCAATTTTTACTTTGAGAAATTCCAAACTTGGGGCACCTGGGTGCTCAGTTGGTTAAGTGTACGACTCTTGATCTATGGGTCGTGAGCTCAAGTCCACAATGGGCTCCATGCTGGGCATGCAGCCTATTTAGAAAAGAATTCTAGGGGGGCCTGGGTGGCTCAGTTGGTTAAGTAGCCTACTTCAGCTCAGGTCATGATCTTGTGGTTTGTGAGTCTGAGCCCTGAGTCAGGCTCTGCTTTGGGTTCTGTGTCTCCCTCTCTCTCTCTGCCCCTCCCCTGCTTGCACTCTGTCTCTCTGTCAAAAATAAACAAACAGGGGCGCCTGGGTGGCGCAGTCGGTTAAGCGTCCGACTTCAGCCAGGTCACGATCTCGTGGTCCGTGAGTTCGAGCCCCGCGTCGGGCTCTGGGCTGATGGCTCAGAGCCTGGAGCCTGTTTCCGATTCTGTGTCTCCCTCTCTCTCTGACCCTCCCCCGTTCATGCTCTGTCTCTCTCTGTCCCAAAAATAAATAAACGTTGAAAAAAAAATTAAAAAAAAAAAAAAA